TGGCTTTTTGTTGGTGGGTTTGTAAACTGGTGGCATTTTTGAGTCCCAGAAAAATAAATGATATACTGAGAGAAAGAAACCCAAACCACATAGACCACAAAAATATATCACAACCACTAAGTAACGTTTGAAACGTTCCGAAAATGTTGGTTCGGCAAATAAAATTTCTTCAGCCGTATCCTTGCTTAGACGCATCGATCCACCACTGCCACTGCCACTGCCACTTCCAGCATTGGTTGAGAAGTGCTTTACTGCTACCTCTTCTGCGTCACTTACAAATCTTTGTTCATTGTTCACATTAGTTTCAATTATATTCACAATATCAGCGATATCCGCAGGCATTATCACAAGATTTTAAATTTTATTAAATTAAATTAAATTAAAAACACAAATATTTAGTCAATTGTTTTCCGGCGATATTTTATTTTGATTGAAATTAAATCAAAATCGCGTGAGGGAATGAAATTTGAAAGTCAACTTTGTGAATTTTGTACTTAGCCAATTGGACATTTTAATAGTTTAGAGCAGGATTTAGACGAAACGAATGGATTAATTGTCGCAATTGTCGCAACAGAATGCATTGTCAACTTTTATATGAGCCACTTTTGATTCTCGAATTCAATTAAATAAACAACGAAGAACTGTTGAAAGAAAGTATTGAAATCGAAAAATGTGCTTCCATGGCGTAATTTAATCCGTCAATAATAAAATAAAATTGACGAATAAATAAAAAGAAACAAAGTGCCGAACAGAAAATATAATAAATAGAAAAATAGGTCTGGAATGTGTAAAGATTTGACTTATTGAGACGTTAATAGCGTAACCATTATCCGCTAAACTCAAAATTTTAAAAAAATTTAAAATTATTTCGGCATACCATATGGAGCCCAGGGAAGAATAGGGAAAACATTCAAAATTTCACAAAATTTTTTTACAACACATGTTTTTCATTTTTTAGTGCAGTTAGCTGACACTTTTGGGATATTATTTTACCGGTTTTTATTGCTATTAGCAGCTACTAACTAGCAGTTCGCTACCATTTTGAGTATTCTTGCTTCTATATACATATATCTATATATATATGTATATACATCTATATACATATATATATGATAACAGCATTTTATATGTAGTGTTTGCTATTTTTGAAATTAATCTAAAAATTATTGTTGTCAATTTTGTTTTAAATTGTATCAAACTGAAATTAAAAAATATTTATAGGTTAGGATAGGTTAAACTGACGATCCTTAGGATTAACTTAGGCGTATTGGTCCATTGTGTTGCAATATTGAATCTTTAGTAAAACCAAATGCTCTTTTGATGGAAATCCTGGAGTTAACCAAGATCCTTAAAAAAACCAATCCCATTAAATTGTATTTATAAGTTAACTTTTAAATGAAAACATTTTCAATTTCTGACTTTATTACTTTAGTAAATCATACTATGAAATTTTTTGGATGCTATCCTCTTTAATAGAAAACAAAATAAATTATATTCTACATATTGATCAATTTTTTCAACAATGATATAACATGATTCTCGGCATATGAAGCGGTAAAATTTAAAACTTTTACTTAATTAACCAACAACAACTTATTATTTATTATTAAAAGTTTTAACGTGAAATCACCCAACAGTCGGTACTGCGGCCAGAAGTGTCCTATTCTATCAATTTCGCTATTGATTACACAAAGTAAGGACTTTGAGTAAGCTTTAAAGGTAAAGCTCCAGTCCAGAGCTAAATCTAGAGAAGAGCTCTTACAGTCACAAAAAATATGCATAGCAGTTTTCTCATATTCAAGGTATAATCTGCATTTCAAATTAGCAGACAATCATGATGATATTTATGAGATGATATTTCAGGGCATAATGACCTGTAATGAAACCCGTTATTAACCTTAAATTACATTTAGAGAATTTAAGAATGGTTTTGTATTGAGTACGGTTTTATCAGTGCTTTGCTTTGTCTAAGTCCTGGGAAGTCTTCTCAGTACTCCAGCCGGTTTAACCCACAAAAGGGTTGATGGCTTAAAAAGCAGTTTTACAACAACAACTTATTAGTGTTAATAATCATTTATGTCATCCATATAAAATGATAAACTAATTGCCACTAGATATCGTAACTGGTCTTAATGTGTGAACACAAATAAAAAATTATATATTTTATTTTTTTTTTACTTTGATTATTTTTTAATTCACCGTGAGTTTTTTTGTTGTTCTCATCATTTATCTATATAAACAATGAGAAAAGTGTTTAATATTCGTATTATAATATTACATTATTTTGTTAATATTATTCAACTTCTACAATCTTGTTAATTACCTTTGTTTGTATTAATTTATTAATATAAACAAACTAGATTTTAAGAACTAAAAATTTAAATTTTAATTCAGAGGCATTGGAATAATTATTGGAGGATATTGGAGGCATCCATAACAATAGAATATAAATTACACCAATCATAGAGATTTCATCGGATAAAGGAAACAATATAAAATTTATATATGCTTTATGTACAGTTTTTAAGAACTTGGGGTAGAAATCACGTCATGACACAAGTGCTTAGTATGCATCGCTTAAATTTGATATCATTATTATTATTGCTTATATTAATTCCTTCAAAATAATTATTTAAATAATTGAAGAGGCATTTCTGATTTGGATTAAACGTGTAAGTTCCAATTACATTTGTTCAATATTCTGTTTTTATCTCAAAAAAAAGTTGTTTTATCTAAAGATAGATATAGGTTTGCATATGTTATATACAAATTCGTAAACAAATTTTGAATACTCGTTTGTTTCCAAATCTTGTACATAATACGATAGTCAGATTATAAAGATAAGGATTTTGATTTATGAATTTATAGATAGTCTTTTAATAACCCTAAAGAAAAGAATTTTAAACATTTTTTGATAAAATATTAATTTTTATGCAATAGTGTTTATAACATTTCACTGCGTATAGAAATTCATAAATGAATCTTATAAAAATCCAATTAAAAATATTAATATCTGGCAATTCTACATTTTCACTTACCATTACATAGAAATTATAGAATGAAAGATATATCAACACGTTCCTTAACCAATATGATGTGTATGCTTATATTCTGGTAATGGCGGCATACGCGAGTCCCAAATGAATAAGTAATACATAGCGAGTGTCATACCAAGACCACCCACACCACCCATGTAGATGAATAACGTTAGCAGACGAAACGTTTTTGACTCAAAGAAATCATCAGATTTTGGAACTTGAATCTCGTCATCTTTATTGTTTGCGGCAGCAGGTGTGGCAGGTGCAGATGACATAATTATTTAATAACTTTTACGTTATGTTGCCACTTCAAATTAACTAATTAATATCTATATAACTATTTGTGTAAGAAACTATTGCGGTTTAAATTATTTTTGTCCACTTAAGTAAATGTCTCAAATAGAACTGAAAGGGCTTGCAATGAAACTGCAATGAGGTGCGAACCTCATATTTGCGGTTAAAAGTTACTCGCATGGTTTGCTTCTTGCTACTTTCAGTTTTTATTTTGCCTTCCTTTAATTTCTTAATGCATGGGTTGTACGCCTAAAGAAAAATATTAGTTGCAATAATAAAACGAATCTACAATATCAACGGAGTTGTCTTAGTTGTACTATAACAATATTTAAGCAAATAGTTGTGATATTCACATTTTTAACGAGTCATGAAAAGTTTTTAGTTTTTTTCACTTTTTGATTTCTTAAAAATTATACTATATTTAAAATATATTAGTACAATTAATTAAAACCCCCATTGTACATTAGGACGAATAACATCCTTAGGGACCTCAAGATTGATCCGATCAAAAAATATATAAAGGATAGAGCCCTGAAATTATTTACAAATATTGACAGGCTTACCAACACCGCGTTACCGAATCTTAGAATAGTTATAGGCTCCTCGGGAAGGTATGCAGATTTGAGGGTAGTTATTGCTTATAAACAATGTGATAAACAATATAACAGTCAAGGCATAGAGAGGGGTTATGAAGAAACCTCCCAGTTAATAGAGAGTAAAAGTGCTCCATAATAATAATAATTATAAAACCGACATACACATGTAATTTAAAAACTATTATTGTTAAGCAAAATTAGTACTATATATTAATAAATCTTTAAAATAAGTAATTATACCAATGTTAAATTAAAAAAATATAATGCACATAAGTACAATAAAAAATATATTTCCAATTTGTTTATATGAAATGAAATGCCAATGCAACATGGTCTCTTATGCGGGTCTTAAACCGATCTACAGGTCATTATGTAATTTGGAATTTTTTCCTCCGATGTTGTTATTATAAACACTTCTTCAATAATACACTCATAACGCATATTTAATTATATTTTTTTAAGCTTACCTTTAAAAACGTTCCTGAACTTTTTGTAAAACTTCTCCATCAATTGAAATAGGAAATTTTTTGTGAATGTCTGGCATGTTGGAGTCAAAAAATATTAAAAAATATAATGATAGAGTCATGCCCAGACCACTTATGCCACCAAGATATACAAATAATGATATCCAACGAAACAGTTTTGAATCAAAAAAAGTAAGACGTTCTTCAGTTGCAATTTCTTCATCGGCATCCTCCTGAAATGAAGATTTATCAGTTGTTACAGGATCCATGCTCTTAACTCTTCAATGGTTGCAAAAAGACTAATTTTATATTGAAATTTTATTTGCAATGAACTTATAAATTCATTTGATTAACATATTGATTAAATGACAAAAACAATTGACAAATCCGATGTCAAGTGAAAAGCATAAACATTTTAGTAGATTTATATATTTGAATATAATCTTTTAACCTTTTATATTTGAATTGAACCTTATATTATCAAGAATAAATTCAAAATATAATAACTTTTGGTTGTATATATTTGAAGTTTTAAGAAGAGGTGCATTAAGAATAAATATTTCAAGAATCAATTTGTTCATATTTTATTACATTTTTAATATTTGCAGATACTCTGAAGAATAGTAAAAAATCTGAACAACTACAGCAGGAAGCATACACATTTGAAGATGCTATAACGCTTACAGGAATAGGGAAATTCCATTATCTCTTGTTACTGGTATGCGGACTTTGTTTCATGTCAGTGATGGTTGAAATTATGGGCGTAGGTCTAATAATGCCATCGATGAAATGTGATCTGGAATCAACAGTATCCGAACAGGGAATGTTAGCTTCAGCTGGATTCCTAGGTGTGGTACTATCGTCACATGCTATGGGTTTTCTTGCAGATACTTGGGGTCGCGTACGCACTCTACGTTATGCCTTAATTCTAAGCGCTATTTCTACAATTATATCCTCCTTCTCAGTTAACATTTTGATGCTTACTGTATTTCGTTTTCTAACCGGCTTCTTTATTTCTGGCGGGCAAGCATGCGTTTTTAGTTTATGTGGTGAATTTCATGGAAACAAAACTCGTGTTCGCTATGTAACATTACTTTCCGGATTTTTGCCCCTGGCTTTAATTTACTTGCCATGTGAGTATTTTTCCCTTTGGAAATAAATCAAATTATTATATTGGTATCAACTTTCAGTTATGTCATCTATAATTTTGCCACTACAAATTGACACCACAGTTTTGGGCATGAAATTTTCATCATGGCGTATATTGTTAATGGTGAATTCTGCGTTATCTATTATAGCAGTAGTTGGACTTTACACTATTCCGGAAACCCCGAAGTATATATTAGTACAAGGTGATCATGATGGTGCCTTAGAGGTGTTACGCACAATCTTTGAGAGAAATACAGGCAGGCCACGTAGTCATTACGCTGTTAAAAACATTATATTGGAAACTGGTGGTGCTAGCTTAACCGATATACATGGTTTTAAAGATGCCGTTAAGATGATATGGAACCAAACTATTCCATTGTTCTACAAAGAGCGCTATTTACATACAATCAATATTTGTCTCATTATGTTTGTAGTGTATGGGATATCTCAAGGATTGTTTATGTGGTAAAAATTTGATTACGCATCTATGAACTTTCACGGCTCAAATAATATTTAATATATGTTACAGGTTCCCAACCATTTTGAATGAAATGATATCGAAAGATGGCTTAGGTCTAACAACTTGTTATATAATCACAAATATGGAGCTCACAACAAATCTGTCAACTGATATTTGTGCTGGAGAGGTAGATACATTCATGTTCAATGTATTAATGGTCATCGGTGCTGCATTTACAGTATTTTTTTTAATTTTTGCGTATACAATTGATTACGTTGGCAAAAAAAATCTGCTTAGTAAGCTAATGGCATATATACTAACAGTTTAATTTAATATTAATTGTTTATTTATTTCAAGTATGTTGGCTCATAGTCTCTGGTATCTGTATGACAGTCATACACTGGATAACGGTTTTCTATATTAGTGTTTTTGCCATTACTCTTATAATGGCTGTTGGCAATTGTGGTGGTCTTGTGAGTACAATTGCTATGGAGTTCTTCCCAACGAATATTAATGCAATGGGCATGTGCTTCATAATGATGATTGGACGTTTAGGTGCAGTGGTGGGTGCAAACATTATGGGACAAATAATTTTTAATTATTGCGATTTAGTGTTTTGGGTATTTCTTGGCATTGTTTGCATATTATGTTTTATGGGTTTAGTATTACCTGAGAGAAAAACTGATAAGAAATCAGTGATGAAATGAGGTCTTAAAAATTAGATTTAGTGTGTAAACAACGATTTCTTAATGTATTGAATCTTTTTTTTAATATATGTTTATAATTATAACGAATACATTGTAGTTTTAAGATTCATATTATATATTACTGGAAATAAAGCATAACTTGATATGCTTATATATATTTAAAAAATAAATAGTTTTTTATAGTTCCGCAGCGCAGTAAATAATTGATCTTAATGTTTGTGTAATATTGTCTTCAACAACAAAATTCGGTTAACATTCAATTTTTATTCATTACTTAATTAAGACCTTTTGTATAATTTTTTATTTTTTAATAATAATTTAAGTTATGATACAAATTGTATGTATATAAGCAAATAAGTATAAGAAGCATTCTCTTTATTTGATCTATATTAAATTTAGTTCTTCAATAAAACAATTTTTAGATAAGACTAGCTTATGTATTTAAATTTGCAAATCGTAGATGTTAACATCTAGTACTTTTCCTGTATTTAATAATAAATTACAAATTATCATTTCTTTTCAAATAAACAAATAAATTAACTAAGTAATTTATGAGAAATCTCTATAGTTAGTTTAAACTTGAAATTAGTTAATAATAGTATTTTTTAAACGAGTTCAATATGTTTTTAAGTAAAAACGATTGATTTCCAATTCCATTATTAACACTTCACTTCTAAGACTGGGGTAATCAACTTTGCTACATCAAGTCACTTCAATATATACATTCTAAGACCAATGAAAAAAATTTTCAATTTTCTAGAAACAGGATTGTAAGCCGCGTTTTTCAGTACATTATTTTTATTTTTACATTATAGGTTTTGCATTGCCGTTACTTTGTGCACAATATCCTTACGCACTTACACGGTTACGCAGTATCCGGTTTGTACACGGTTTGTATCCGGTTCTTACACGGCTTTTTTTCTCCATTACTACTCAGTTTTTGATTTTGATTTAGGTGTAATGAAATGAATCGGAAGATTTATTTTATTATTATTAAACATTTAACAACACTGCTTATAATTAAAATATATTATTGAAGTTTACGATAATTTATGTTTATTGATTATGTTGTTCATTCCCTTTAATTGCTGATACTATCATTACGGCAACTAATAAGGAAATTGATGTGGTTCAAGATGTGGTTAATGTTAAATCCAAAAAAAAATAATATAAAACACGACAACTAATGTTTAGAAATGTGAAAGGAATCTGTATAAAGTATTTTTATAGGATTACAGATTTGGAAAGAATTGAATGAACATTTGAATTGTTTGCTTACTATCTCCAACTGTTTATCTAATATTATTTACGATTATTTAAACAAAGTTGTGAAAGAGTATTAACTATTACCTATTGATCAGGTGTGGTACGATTATAATGAGTCAAAAATAATTATCTGAAGCCAACGGCTTAGACAACAGAAGCGTCAAACTTGTTCGTAATTTCTGCTGGCAGATACTCATTGCTTCTGTTCTTGATTTTATTGATTTTGATGTCTGCTATTAAATTCTTCAACTGCACCAAAATTGAAATATTGGGCGTCGCATTGAAGTCTACACTGTCAAGATCACACAATTCAAGTGAAATCAACAGCAACTCTGCAGCAGCAACAATTGTAAAACCAATAATTCCGGCGACAGATTCAACTATAATTTAAGTAGACAATCTTTTTGTATTCATTATTTATTTATTTGTTTATTTATTTATTTATATACCTAGACAGGCTTTCGTTAAACATTGTTAATGATGAATTCAAGCGACTTCATATTTATGAACAGTTAACGCTTCTCGTCGCATTTATAAGATCTTAAATTGATTGGTTTTCCTTAAGATTTTATTGCTTTATGTGACATCGCACAATGATGTTGAGGTTTGGACTTTTACAATTTATAATTTTTTTTATTGTTATAACGAAAACATATGAAGATGTGCTGCAGTACATAAAGAATATAACTATAAAGATAAATAAAGATACTCAAGGCAAATACTCGTCCAGATACTCGTACTTCGACAGTTGTAAAATTGCGGTCGTCAGTTGCAATAATTATCACAATTGCTGCATTAAGTGTTTTTACCGTCAATTTATAATGTTGTGATGACCATCATTGATTGTTAGGAAAATGTTACACGTCTTTAAAAGTTTTTGCTTACTTTTTTCTAACGAAGAATTTTTACCTTTTATGGGCAGTAGAAGCGAATAGCAGCATTGCAATGAGCGAATTAAGATGCCTCGAAATTATATTACTCCCCGCTGGTTTGCTTATAGTCAATGTTGTTTCTACTAATGCAGACAACGTTAGCAAATTTATTAATAAAAATGATGGAAGAAGATGTTTGCAATATCAATGCTCCAGTGGGCAACCAGTGGTCATTACAGTTTCTCTCAAATCTATAAAAAATCCATTTGAGAGTTAACTGAAGACACTGCAATATTATTTGTGCCACAGTACTGAATGACAGTACTAATAATTTACCGGTGTTTGAAAAGACTAAAGCTTATTTTAACACATTACATACTCCAATTGTATTATTTTCGTTATATTTTATGCAATGAGAGTCCTGTGTAATGTTCTTGGTGTTTTGTACACAATATGTTTCACAGGTATGTAATACGGACATGCCATTCTAACCATTCTATCTATTTGGTGGGGCTCCGGATATTTATATTCGTCAACTAGTCGGCATATTATATGCCATAATTGAAATAATGCGGGCAGCACTACTATCTATATTGACTTTGATTATTTAGCAATTTCTTTATAATAAGAATAATGATATTTATAACTTAATTTTAAACTATATAAGCTTCTTAATATTACACTATTGCAATAGCTAGACATAGTGAAAAAGTAGGTTACCCATCTGTGTTCGACCTTATTCTAGTCACATCAGCTTTAGTGTTAGCAAACAAGCCAAATGTTTAAAACTTGCTTCTTCCAGCAATTGTAATTGGAACCTGAAATAGTTTTAAATCATTATGCGATATGTGTGGCAAAACAGTATTTGAAATCTGAACAAAGAAGACATAATAACGTGTACCTGACTTGCATAATACATCTATTAGGAGTAACGGTAAAATTTATCCATTTTCATAAATAATACGAGATATTATTTGAAATACTTTTGCAACAACTTAAAATATAAAAAAATATTTTATATTTATTCAATTATTTATTTACTTAAACTAGTTGTTTTATTATTAAACTTTATTTTTTAGCAAATGGGGGTAATAAAGGTAGCGACGTAATTTGAAAAAAAAAATTTAATCATATGATTAAATCTTCGGTTTATCATACAATAAAACCAACAGATGTTTCTCTAGATCACGAATGATGGATAAAAATTTCGTTATTATTATCTAATTTTTTATTCGAAATAAATTGCTTGAAAAAAGATAAAAAAAAATATTTTTTTTAAATTACAATAACCTATTGTCTAAGTAATTCTGTTTCTATAAAATTCTTATCTTTCTATAATAAAGACATGGGGTGAACGCTGGTTCCTGTCAAATGCTTACATTTCAAATCGTCTTTAAAATCTTCAAATGTCTTGTACATGTTAATATACTAGTTATATATGGGGTACTATAAATAACTGAAGGTTTTAATATAGAATTGCGCTTGAAAAAAATAATTATTACATTGTTAAAGAAATTATATACATTATATGATTATTATGATGGTCTCGGACATATGAAGTATAAGAAATTAAAAAAGAGTAAGATTCTTCTGACTTCTTGCTTAGTTGAATTAATTTTCATGCAGAATCGACTTAAAGAGACAAAGATTGTGTTGAGTTTCTTTGCTTCTTAGAAATATATAAAAGTGTAAATTATACAGATTATAAAATTCTTGCATATTTTTGTTTTCATACTTTAGTATTGATCAGGACCTCCTTACATTGTAGGCATTGCATGGAGGATGATGAAAAGGAATCACCAACACACCTTCTGCTACAGTGTCCTGCTTTCGCAAAACATAGACTATCCTACTTAGGGTCGCACTTTTTCTATTCACTAAGAGAGCTAGATTCTATTTCCATAGCTCGTGTCAATGACTTTGTAGCCAATACCAAGTGGTTATAGGGACAGGTGTCAAATTCTTTAGGGTATCACAATGGACCTCATGGTCTAAGTGAGTCTTCGGACGGCCCCAGTAACCTAATCTAACCTAACCTTAGTGTTGATAGTCTTATGTCTTATGATGAGCCTTTTCCAAATTAGTTCGTCTGGGCACTTTTACTCTATGATGGCTGAGGGGTTTCTGCAGAGTCCCACCCATCTCACTGACTAATTTCAGTATTCCTCAGAATCTTCGTTATTATGAATGATTGATCTAAAATCTGCGTACCGCCCCATGCAGTGAGTGATTACTCTGAGATTACATAGTGCTAAGTAAGGCAGCCTGTCGGTTTTCGCATATAGTTTCAGAGCTCTGTCTCTTATGTATTTTTTGACAGAATTTATTCTAAGGCCTCTTAGCATGTCATTCGTGCGGATGTACCATGATACTTTGAAGAGCCTTCGAAGAGCCTATAAATTAGAAACACTTGAGAAATTGATCACCTATAGAAAACAGTTAAAAAAAGATGTAGTACAGTTAGTATCAGATTTTGAAAAACTACTGTATTTGTTATAATAATATAATGCTTTTATAATTAACTTATGAATTAATTATTAATTACTTATATCGTTTTATTCTAATTATGTACTATATTAATATTTTGAATTACTGACTTCTATTCAAATCGAAATGATCTCTTTAAATAGTAGTTCAATGAATACAAAACAATCCATACGCCTGGTAAAATAAAGAGTTCAGCAAATGGCGACGCAATATAGCAGCAAAGAAGCCATAACTTCATTTCTATTCCAGTCAAGAATTCGTGGTAATTTTCACATTAACAGAACTAGTGGAACAGTTGAAGACTAAATATGCCAAAATCAAAGTGGGCTAAAATATCGTCCATAAAAATGCAAAATCCAAGAACTTAAACAGAAAAAAACCCCAGTAGAAATGCGGCTAATGCTGAGTGACTGACTGGCTAAGTGGCTAAGTTGTGGCTGTGTGCAGAGCCAGCGGTGCGCCAAATACAAAAAAGTACAAGTATCACAAATATCTATAGACTCGTGTGTTTGTTGTTTATTTGTGATACGGTAGAGCGATAGGCGGTTTATGG